GGGGGGGAGTTACCGATAAATTATGGAAAATGAAGTTATTGTTCTGTGTTGTTGAATCCATTCCAATTCACGGGAACCCTCTGTATAAGAGCATTCATCACCACCGAGGCCTATGTCATCCTCACCAGTTACTATGCTTTAGCCCACACATGTCGTCACTGTGTCAATCCATCTCACTAAACATGTGCTCCTTGCTGTCAACCTTTTATTTCAGCAAGCAGGGTAACCCTCCTCCACGACCGCTACCTTCTCATAACATCCTCAAAGCACGTAAAAGGAAGTCTCGCCTTCCTCTCTTCCAAAGAGCATTCTGACCAGACATCTTCCAAAACAGACTCATTTACTCTTGCAGCAGCAGCTGATGGTATATTCATGGCTAGAACTGTCAGAGTCACCATTTCTAATGATTCAGCTACTATGTACCCCTAAGTAACAGACAATTATCCCCACGACTGCAATTCTCTGCCATGCTAACACACCAGAGGAATGGCAGGAGGAGGACATGGGCTCCTTGCTACCTGTCTATCGAGCCAAGATATAGCAGTAAAGGGAAAACTGAGCATCTGTACTTAGACTTACATTACAGTACAAGTCAATGGTCTTTTAATTAAAATAGTACACTCATCAACTGGAACAGCACATCAGCAGAGAACTGTCAGAAGTCCAGGCTGGGTTTAGAAGGGGTCGTGGTACTAGGGATATCGTTGCTGATGTTAGATGGATCTTAACTGAAAGCAGAGAATACCAGAAGAATGTCTATCTGTGTTTCATTGACTATGCAAATGCATTTGACTGTGTAGATCATAACAAACTATGGCTGACTCTGAGAAGAATGGGAATCCCAGAACATGTTGTGCTAATGCGAAACCTATACTTGGACCAAGAGGCAGTCATCAGAACAGAGCAGGGCAACACTGCATGGTTCAAAATTGAGAAGGGTGTACGCCAGGGATGTGCCCTGTCTCCATACCTTTTCAACCTGTATGCAGAGCAGATTATCCGAGAGGCTGGGCTCTATGAGGAGAAGTGTGGCGTTAGGATTGGTGGAAGATCTATCAACAATCTGCGTTATGCAGATGACACAACCTTGCTCGCTGAAACTGAGGAGGACCTCATGCACTTGCTGCAGAGGGTCAAGGACTGCAGCCTTCAGTATGGACTGAGGCTCAATGTCAAGAAGACAAATATTCTCACCACTGGACCAATCGGTAGCATCAGGATGGATGGCGAAGAGATTGAGATTGTTCACAGCTTCAGTTTGCTCGGCTCCACGGTCAACACTCTTGGCACCAGTAACCAAGAAATCAAAAAACGTATTGCGATGGGAAAGTCTGCAGTTAGGGACCTCTCCAAAATACTCAAGAGCAACGGTGTCTCTCTGGAGACTAAGGTGCGCCTGATACAGGCCATGGTTTTTGCAATCACTTGTTATGCATCAGAGAGTCGGACAATGACTAGGGAGGATAGAAGGAGAATTGATGCCTTTGAGCTGTGGTGCTGGAGAAGAGTATTGAATGTACCATGGACTGCCAAGAAAACAAACAGATTCATCCTAGAGAGGGTTGAACCAGGCTGCTCCTTGGAGGCAAGGATTCTGGGGCTTCGTCTGACATACTTTTGACATGTTGTAAGGAGAGATAAGTCCTTGGAAAGGGACATCATGCTTGGTAGGGTAGAGAGACAGCACAGGAGGGGAAGACCCTTTATGAGGTGGATTGGTTCAGTGACTGGGGTAATCGGGATGGGTGTGTCAGAGGCAATGCGATTGGCACAGGATAGAGCAGAGTTTAGGGCTGTTGTACACAGGGTCGCTATGAGTCGCAAACGACTCAACGGCACATAACAACAACAACAACACTCATCAACAAATGGTGCTGGCAAAACCGGACATCGTCTGCAAAAAAATTGAAAAAGGATTTACATTTCACACTATAAACAAAAACCAACTCAAAGTAGTTCAGGAACCGAGGGGTAAAAACCAAAACTTTACACATTGCGAGAGACAAAATAGGAACAAATTTAGAAGTGCGAGCCGCAGAACCAGAAGAGGATAAAATTGACAAATGAGACCTTTTAAAAATCAAATCCTTGTGTAAGTCAAAAACTTTTTCCAATAAGGTGAAAAGTAAGCCCACACACAGGAAAAAACATTTGGTAATGACATTTCAGACAAAGTTCTCATAACTAAAATTTATAGGCTACTACAGAGCCTGCACAAGAAAAAGACTGAAAATCCAATTATAAACATGCAAAAGGAAAGATTCTTCACAAAGGAGGATTAATGTTGAAACACATGAAGACATGTTCAAAATAATAACAGAGAGATGTAAATTAAAACCCCAATGAGATATACAACCTCACCCCAGTTGTTGATGGGTGCCATTAAGTTGAGTATGTATGTATGAATCACAGTGACCCTATGAACAAAAGATCTAAATCCTGTTTTATAACTACAGTTGTTTCCTTAATGTTCATAGGATTTCCAGAGGACTGTTGTTTAAGAAGTGGATGCCAATCTTGCTTCTAAATCTCTCTTAATCTGGGAGCTCTACCAAGCCCTGTACACCCTGGGTAACTAGTATGACAACTGACACACCAGTGGCACAGTGTCCAGTATCACAGCAACCCCGTTATCTCAGTATAGCAAACTGCCAGACCACTGCTGTACCACTTAGAACAATCTCACCCCAGTAGCTATGGCAAAGTTTACCTGGATGGCAAGTACTAAATGCTGGATAGGATGTGGAGCGATTGGAACAGTCATGTGCTGCTGGCAGGCTTGTAAAATGGTACCACAAATACAGAAGGTAGTTGGAAGCTTCCTCAAGAAGCCGAACATATAAATCCCATGTCACCTAGTAATTTCACCGCAGAGAATATATACCCTAAGGAAGCGAGAGGTGAGCCAATACGAGAGATTTACAAAACCCCACATCTTTTCAATCTATATGCAGAACACATCATTCTGGAAGCAGGGCTTTATGAGGAGGAATGTGGCATAAGGACTGGAGGAAGACTCATCAACAACATTCTATGTTACACAGATGACACAACCCTGCAAGATGAAACTGAAGAAAACCTGAAGCGCTTGCTGCAGTAGTCTTCAATATGGATGGAAGCTCAACATCAAGTAAAACAAAGAATCTCACCACTGGGCCAACTGGCAGCACTATGATAGATGGAGGCGAGATTGAGGTTGTTAGCAATTACAGCTTGTTTGGCTCCACAATCAACACTCTTGGCACCAGCAGTCAGGAAATCAAAAGACAAACTGCATTGGGAAAGTCTCCCGAGTGCTTAAAAGCAACAACGTCAGTCTAGAGACTAAGGTGCACCTAATCCAGGCCTTGGACTCAATATAAAGACAGTCTGGCTACTGAAATTAACAGAGGAAAGAGACAGAAGAGCTGTTTAAAAGGGAAAGGGAGGAGGGGCGTGGGAGGAAGAAGAGGGACTCATTAGAACAACAGAGGAGAGAAGGAGCAGTGGAGACTGGAGATGGGGAGGTAAAGTAACAGGTCAATAGTACTCAGTTATGTAAAACACAGTGTCCATAATGACTGTATAAGACAGTAGTAGTGCCTGTGGTATTTCACTCACCAATGACTCTTTCCAGCAAGCCAGGAAAGCCCTGCAGATAGGTGAGGAGGTCACTGTTAGCAGTCATTTCACAAAGGACATCAAGAAGCCGAATTATCGCCAGAACCTCCTAAAAAAAGAAAGGGAATATGACTGTCAGTTAGATTTTTAGTTAAATAACACGACTAGCTTTGTAGTTAGGTACAAGGACTCTGCAGGAGCTGACAGCTGAGCCTCCAGCAGGTTATCAGAGGCAGTAACTGAAGAGGCAGAGACTCCGTCTCTCTTCTGCTGAAGTGTTAGAAGAGAATAAAACATGGCAATAAACGGGACAATCTCCGCTTGTGGCAAATTTAAACAAACAGAACTGTGAAGGATAAAACAATAGCATTAAATGCAGAAGCAAAACATCCCTTGACTAACAGCTGAAATCTGTCACCAAGAACAAAAGCTTACGCGTCATTATGCATCTTCAAGGAGCAAAACGTCAGAAAAAGTCCTTATTCAAGTAAATACATCTTCCAACAGTCGAGCAAATAGTCAAAATTACTAGCTACGTGCACAATATTTATGCAAATGTTTTCCTTTTAAAACCTTGCCAGCATTAGGAGTTCAACTTTAAAGGGGCAAAGGTCCCATGAAAGAAATTCATTTCTTCTCTACAAGAATCCTGTATGATGTCATGGTTCAAAGAACCCTGGCTACAAGAATGTGCATAATTCTTGGCAAATATAAACCCGTATGACTATCCTGAGGGGCTGGGAGAGTTTTATTCAGAAACTATAATTAATCTTCTCTCTTTAATACTTTATGATCACATAACATGAACAAGACACTATCATCTTACATGGTATCACTCTAGGTAAAATTTTAGAGGGCAATTTTGTTCAGACATTCCTCTAGGTCGTATAGCCCTGGTGTACAAGTTGCCTTATAGTGGTAACTTGTGGCTGCCGTGAGGCTGAACACTGTGACACTGATGTGTCAAATGCATTAATGGCTGGTTACCCAATGAGGGCAGAGAGTGGGGTGGAGCTCCCCAATTAAAACAAGCTTGGAAGGAGGAGTGGCATCCACTTCCATAATAGCCTGCCTCCGGAAACCCTATGAACCTGGAGAGAGGATGAAAGGCACCCAAGCGTCGAGGACTCTCTTTCATAGGGTCACTATGAGTCGACTACGACTCGACAGCACTTAACAACAACAACAACAACAATTTTTGTACAGATTTTTCAGTCATTTTAAAAGCACAACTTATTTGACAAAATGTGATTGTTGTTAGGTACCATCAAGTCAACTTCACTCACAGTGACTCTCTAAGTGAATGAAACCCTGTCTGATGCTGCACAACCTTCACAATACCCACCATGGTCAAGTCTATTGTTGTAAACACTGTCACAATCAGTTGTTTCAGAGAGTCTCATTCTTTGCAATATTATCCAACATTTATTATGATCCACACAGTGGAATGGCTTTCATAGTCAATAAATCACAAGTAAATCTATTTCTAAGATTCTCTGCTTTTAGCTAAGAGTTATCTGGCATCAGCAAAGACAGTCCTTGTCCCAAGACATCTTAATCCAACTTGAATTTGGGAGTTATCTGTCAGTGTCCTGCTCCAGCTGTTTTTGAATAATAATAATTGTAGAACAATCATGCTTACACTAAACCTACACCTAGACCAAACTGTTACTGTATGGTTTAAAATCAAGAAAGGTGCCTGTCAGGGCTGTAACTTCTCTCCATACCTACTCAATCTGTATGCTGAACCAATCATTCAAGAAACGAGACTCTATGAAGAATGAGATATCAAGATCAAAGGAAGACACATCAACAACCTGTATTACACAGATGACATAACCTTGCTTGCTAAAAGCAAGGAAGACATGAAGCACTTGCTGTAAAAGATCAAGGACTAGAAACTTCACTATGGATTGCATCTCAACATCAAGAAAACAAAAATCCTCACCACTGGGCTAATAAGCAACATTATGATAGATGCAGAAATGACTGAAACTGCCAATGACTTCATCTTAGGGAGTTCTCGTGACTTAAAGGTAAGGAGCTATACTGTCCATGTGGTTCAAATCCACCAGCTGCTCCTTGGGCGGGCTAAGCAATCTTCTCCCGTGTGATTTATAGCCTATGAAATCCCACTGAAGGGTCAGTTGTGAGCAGATTCTGATTCAACAGTACAAAAAAGCAACATCTAACTTAGATCCACAACCAATACTGTTGATACCAACAATCATGACATCAGGAGATATATAGCACTGTGTGCTGCCAGGCACCTCTCTAAAGTCCTGAAGAGCAATGTTATCAGTTTAAAGACCAAGGTGCATCTGATTTAAGTTATGACCTTTCCAACCACCTGCAATGCATCTGAGAGCTGGACAATGTGTAAGGATGATAAAAGAAGATCAATGCCTTTGAGCTGTAGCGAGTACTAAGTATCTATCCCATGGACTTCTGAAAGAACAGACAGATATGTCTTGAAGAAAGTGCACGGCATGCTCCACAGAGGCAGGGAGCTCACACAATCTGGGCATGCTGTTAGGAGAAACTATTCCTTGAAAAGGGAAATCATGTTTAGAAAGCTGAAAGTCAACAAAATAGAGGAAGCCCCTCAATGAGATAAACTGAGACAGTGACTACAGTAATGAAATGTGTTGGGATGATAAAGACAGTGCCTAATAGAACAGGGTTTAAATCTGGTTTCTTAGGGTCACTATGAGTCATATTCAACTCAAAGGCACAACATTCTTACTCAACACAGCCCTAACTCAAGCCATTACAATCCTCTTATGAATATTTCTAAGGTACTATCGAGTACGATGCAACAGTAGACTTGAACCCTGTCCTGGCACCAGAAGCGTACGCACACATGAACATACACATGCACGCACACTCACCCTGCTGTTGGATATGAGGTGCCACTGAGTCGGGAAGGATCCACAATAACCTAGTGAACAGCAGCTCTTAACCCTGACAAACCCTGTGCCAGTCTCACACTTCCCTACATACTAGAACCCACTGCAGCAGTCACTGTGTCAGTCTACATGGTTGAGGGTCTTCCTTTCCTTTCCTTCACTCACCGTCTGCCTTTCCCAGCATCATGTCCATCTTCAAGGAACAGCTCCTCCTAGCAACATGCCCGAAGTATGTGAGGTGAAGCTTTATCATCTTTGCCTCCAAGAACCACTGTGGCTCTACCCTCTCCAAGACATATTTGTTTGTTCTTCTGGCCATCCATGGGATGTTCAGCGCTCTTCTCCAACATCACCGCTCAAGACAACATCAATTCTTCTGTCATCTCTAGTCGTCTGTCCAGCTCTCAGATGTATAGCAAGAGATTGGAAAGACCATGGCCTTAATCAATCACAACTTAGTTCTAAAACAGACATAACTCAATAATTTGGAGAGGTCTCTGACTGCAGTCTTTCGCAGTGCAATACGTCTCCTGATTTTCTGACTGCTGGTACCAAGGGTGCTGACTGTGGATGCAAGTAAGATGAAGTTGTTGACAGTATCAATCTTTTATTCCCCTATCGTGATGTTGCCTATCAGTACAGGGGTAAGAATTTTTGTTTTCTTGACACTGAGATATAACTCCATCATATTTTTTTTATTATTATTTTGTGTGTGTACCGTCAAATCCGATCTGACTGGTACAGGAGGATATTGCCCCTCCTTCTCCAGCAGAGCATCTGGTGGATTCGAACAATTCATACTGAAGACTGTATTCTTTGATCTTCTCCAACAAGTGCATCAAGTCCTCCTCCCTTTCAGCAAGTAAGGCTGTGTTATCTGCATAATGCAGGTTATTAATGAATTTTCCTCTGAACTTGAGGCCACATTTTTCTTCAGAGTCCAACTTCTCAAATAACTTCCTCAGCATACAGATTTAATAGGTATCAACAGAGATTATAACCCTGACACATTCTTCTTAATTTTAAACCATGTGGTGTTCCTTTGCTCTGTTCACATAAAAAACTTTTGGTCTAGGAATAGGTTTCACATGAGCACAATTAAGTGCTCTGGGATTCCTATTCTTTTCATTGTTTCATTCATAGCTTCTTATGATCCCCAGTCAAATGCCTTTACAAAATCAATAATGTATAAACAGACATTCTTCTGGTATTCTTTACTTTCAGCCAGGATCCATCTGACATTAGCAGTGATCTCCCTGGTGCCACAGCTTCCTCTCAATCCTGCTTGAGGTTTTGGCAATTCCATATCCATGTACTGTTCTAACCATTTTTTAATGCTCTTCAATAGTATTTTGCCTACACGTGAAATTAATGATGTTGTTGTTGTTATGTGCCGTCGAGTCGCTTGCGACACATAGCGACCCTATGTACAACAGTCCTAAACTCCGCTCTGTCCTGTGCCAATCGCACTGTCTCTGACACTCCCATAACGATTATCCCAGTCACCGAATCAATCCACCTCATAGAGGGTCTTCCCCTCCTGCACTGTCCCTCCACCCTCCCAAGCATGATGTCCCTCTCCAAGGACCGGTCTCTCCTCACAACATGTCCAAAGTATGTTAGACGGAGCCTCAGAATCCTTGCCTCCAAGGAGCCACCCAGTTTAACCCTTTCCAGGACAAATCTGTTTGTTTTCCTAGCAGTCCATGGTATTCTCAATACTCTTCTCCAGCACCACAGCTCAAAGGCATCAATTCTCCTTCTATCCTCCTTGGTCACTGTCCAACTCTCTGATGCATAACAACTGATTGCAAAGGCCATGGCCTGTATCAGACGCACCTTAGTCTCCAGAGAGACACCATTGCTCTTCAGTACTTTGGAGAGGTCCCTAACAGCAGACTTTCCCATGGCAATGCGCCTTTTAATTTCCTGGCTGCTGGTGCCAAGACTGTTGACTACGGAGCCAGGCAAACTAAAGCTGTGTACAATCTCAATCTCTTCACCATCCATCCTGATGCTGCCAATTGGTCCAGTGGTGAGAATCTTTGTCTTCTTGACATTGAGCCTCAATCCATATTGTAGGCTGCAGTCCTTGACACTCTGCAGCAGGCACTTCAGGTCCTCTTCAGTTTCAGCAAGCAGGGTTGTGTCATCCGCATAACACAGGTTGTTGATAAATCGTCCACCAATCTTGACCCCA